ACAGCAGAGCTGACATCACATGGCAGCAGGGAAAGTTTGGTCTCTTCAGGACATGGTGTTGGACAATTGGTTACCCATATGGACACAAAGTAAAAATAGACCCTGGTGACAGGATAAATTCCAGGTGGCTCAGAACCCTCAATGGGAAAAGGAAACATTTTAAAAGCCTGTCAAAAAGCAGATTTTCATGACCTCGGAGGAAGCAAAGATTTCTATAAAGGAAAAGGTTCTCAGACCTGGAGTCATTAACACCCCCACAGAAGAAATAGCAAAATAATGAAGGAGTAGAGGTGGTATGGGGGACAGGAGAGTTACCAGAGGTTAAATACTTAGAACTTACTCTTCACCGGGTGTGGTGGATATAGTCCTGGGTGCTTGGGAGCTGGAGGAAGAAAGGTATCTGCAAGTTCCAGGCAAGCCCAGGCTATGTGCTAAGTTCCAGGTCAGTCTAGGTTACACAGTGAGACACTGTTTCAAAAAACAAGAGCAAAGCAAATACAAACAGCCCGAACTCCTTCAGTCTTTACTGTTTGAAAGACAATGGTAAAACTGGAAAAGTAAATGAACAGACATTCTACAGGAGGAAGAAAAGCAGTGGGGGGGGGGGCATAAACATCCAATAGAGTGATGTGTGACTTCCCTAGTTAAAACACAGGTTTGAATTAAAATGACACCTCTTGTAGACCTATGAAGCTGCCTTCATGTGTGCCTGATGAGATGGGTGTGGCTGATGGCCAAGAGCAATGTGAACTCTTGTATATGATTCATGGCAGGAGAAAGTGGTGTGTCTGCTTCAGAAAGCAATTTGTTAATGACAGAAGCAGCCTCTGGACTTCCAGGCTTCGTCCAGGACAGACAGTTCTCATCACATTCATTTTTTGAAAACCAATGAATAACTGAAATAAGTTCAACAGATTAAAAACTGAGTAGTAAGCTTATTCAGAAGACAAATGAATAAACTAAGGTGTCAGGAACCAATATAAACTGTGTCCAGTGTAGAACTGTTAAATTGTTTTGCTATAATAAGGTCTCCTTGGATGGATTGGGAAAGGCTATGACTACAGTGTTAACCATCCAGAGACCAGCAAGTTCCCTGAGGAACTGATTAAATTGACCTGATAGGAAATGATTGATAATTGATTGATAGAATGTCTTGTATCAATGAGGATCTTTTTAAAATCTTAGAATAAAGATAGCATTAATCAACATCGAAAATTGCATAAAGATACAAAGTGCAGAATAATTTTTTAAAGAAAAAGTATTTGACTACAACTGAACTGGAGTTGTGTGCGCAGCTGGAACTAAAAGCAACTATAGTCTCTTAATTAAAATATTCACTGCAGCCCATCCCTGGGAGGTTCACAGTGTGTTCTGAACAGACCCCAGGCTGAATTACTTTCTTCTCAAGTCTGGAGGTTGATTGTCTGGATGTGGTAAACATGGTACAGTTGGCCGGATGGTGGTGCTGAGAGGAGTGTGACAACCACTTAGTGTGTACCTTCTCTGAACATGTCTGATCTCAGCAGTGAGCACTTTTACATTTCTCTCTCTCTCTCTCTCTCTCTCTCTCTCTCTCTCTCCTCTCTCTGTGTGTGTGTGTGTGTGTGTGTGTGTGTGTGTGTGTGTGCCAAAGTACCACTGGGTGTTAATTCTTTCCTTCTACCATGTTGTCCGGGGGGTTGAATTCAGGTCATTAGACTTGATGACAAATGTTTTTGCATGCTGAGTCACCTTGCTGGACTTATATTTTCCCTGGTGGATGAGCCATCCCAAACTAAGTGCCTTAAAATAGTTAACCCTTTGTTGATCTCATTGTTTTCTGGATGGGCCAGATGACCAAACACCTGTGTCCTGTTGGGCTCTTGGCACGTGGTATCATCACTTTCAGGATTGGATTAGAAATAAAATCTGCTGCTTCCTGATAAGGTGGAGGTCCCATGTGTGTCTCCACAAGCGAGGCCAGGAAGAACTGAGTTGAAAACATTAGTAGCAGTCTCCAGATTTTGCCAAATCCATAAAATTTCTGGGGGAGGGGGTGCTAATTTTCTCTGGAACAGCTGAGAGTGAAGGCAGAGAGTTCACCACATTCCCTTTCTGTGACCTCAGAGCTTTTCCCAGTTGAGGGATAGCCGGCAAATCCATTTCAGGAAGTCAAGTGTCTTCCATTCCCTTTGCCTCTAGCATGCTCAGTGGTCTTGGCTGGAAGCATTTAAGGGCACTTAGCAGTGCCCAACTGGAATGGCTTCTAAGAATGACAAAAGGTATGAGGGGTATTCTAGGGAGGGTAGGGCAGGAAAAGGGGTCAACTGGAAGGAGATCCCCAAAGTCTCAGTAGTTGACATTTGGGGTACCCATCACCACCTTGTTTTCAACTGGTGTATTTAAGACCCTTGCAGAGAGGCAGGGTTCAGATTCAGACCACACACTGTCTGCTGTTCACACTCAACTTCTTCCTGCCTGAACTCTGTAGCGAAGCTGCTATCTAAATGTTCATGGAAGGCATATTAAAATTTTAGGGAGTCTCACGTGCTCATTGTGGGGAGGAATTTCCCATCATGATAAGTGGTTTGTTTACATCACACTCTGTCTCTGAGCTGAGGCCAAACTGATAAACAAGAGGTAGGACAGAGTTAAGAGACTGATTGAGAGGACAGGTAAGCCACCTAGGGTGCTCTTTCTGAACAAATAAATGGGTTGGATAGCAACCGATGAAGGAGCAGGCCAGCTGTCCCTTAAGGACATAGCTAAGTCTCCATGCCAAGTCAGCTTCTCAGGTGTCAATCTGAGATGTGATTGACTGGGCCCTTTGGAAGGAGAAGATGCTTGCAGCCTCCGCCTGAGCATGGATTCTCGAAGTGAATTTAGCCATTTGTCTGTTTTCAACTGGTTTTGGATCTACTTTATGAAAAATTTGTTACATAATAATATTCTATCTTTGTAGTTTTTATTTGCTTTTCTCTTCTGCATGTAGAAACTTTGCAGTTTTCAAATCCTGCCTTTCAGTTTTAGCCACAATCCATTGGTGTCATATGTGAAGATGGTACACTGTCAGTCCATTAATGCATAGAGTTGGGCCTCACCCACTCGGCATTGTCTTTATTGTGTCTCATTACCTGCATGTCCTGTATTTCCTGAGATAGCCATGTTTTTGAGAAATTACAATTTCTTATAAAGCTAGGGGTGTCACAAAGAGCCAAACTTACGAACTTGTTGGAGCTGAGTTCTTCAAATGTTGCTCTGGAATGTGAATGACAGGGAATATAGGAAACATGGCAGCCGAGTGCTCGATCGCAGGTCATCTTTTCCATAGAACATCAAAACCTGTCTGCCAACTTGACAACCCAAAAGGGTTTCTCTTTTTCAGGGGTTCTGTGGGTCTCCCTGTTCCTCCCTCCCCAAATTCTCCAAGCTCTACCTCAGGGGCTTCAATGTGGGGTTGTTTATGTTTCTGAATGCTCCTTCCTCACTATGTCATGCTAAGACTGGAGGTGACAGAGACCTCCCTCTGCTGGGGATTAGTCAACACACAAAGAGGCTCTCAAGATAGTGAGACATGCCCAAAGTTTCTCTATACGTTAACCCAAGAATTTGAACACATTTAACCCACACATTAGAATTTGTTCAGTATTTCATTCATTCAGGGGATTTCTTAACCATCAGACAGTTTTCATTAGCAGATGTGCTAATGTAATTTTACTGTTGCTCTACAGCTGATTATCTATCATCAACCATAAGTCAATCTGCCTACCTACCTACCTAC